CAATCCCCCCCCCCCCCCCCTAGATGATTGGTTGTCATGTTAATCCACAAGGATCCGTACGTCTTGGGAGCGAAGTTCTAGCTAGCTATCTGTATCAATCAATCTTCTAATATATATTGTTTACTTGATGTATTTAATTAAGAGCATCTTTTTTCTGGAACTTACGTACCATTAAGAGTTAGCTCGTGATTATTACTGCAATTGCAGAGAACTTTAAGATAGACAAAGAAGAGAAGGCTAAATGGGTACACCTCCATTTTTTATGAAGAAAGTCTACGAAGCAGCCTCGGAAGGAGACTGGAATTCGATGAAAACAGCTTACAATGGACCACATGATAAGTACATGATGGCTCCAATAACGGTTTTAAAAGATACTGCATTTCACTTGGCAGTGTATAGCAGAAAGGATGAACCGCTTAAAAGTCTACTTAAAATTGTTGATGAAAAATCAATTCCCTGGAGTCCCTGTACATTAAAGAATGCGTATGGAAACACTGTTCTTCATGAAGCTGTTTTTACTGGAAATATGAAAGCTGTAAAGCTCTTACTCCAGTTTAAACCTACAGAAAAGCGTGAAAGTGATACTTCAAAGCAACTTGAGACTAAAAACGCGCTTGGGGAGACTCCATTGTATAGAGCTGCTTCATGTGGTAAGAAAGAAATAGTGGAGTATTTAGCTACACAAATGGGCCAAATCTCAGAGGATCACCGCAAGAGAGAAGATTCAAAGCCGATTCTTCATGCTGCCATCCAAGGACAACACTTTGGTTTTGTTCTTAATCTTATTATCTCTCAAATGAAACTCTTAAGACATCTATAGACACTCCCACTGCACACACATTCATCCCTAAACATCTAAGATTAGATACCACATAAATTTATAATTGATTAAAAACAAATCAAATGACATTATACTTTCAATGCAGAAACTGCTCTGACGTTGCTCGAACTGGATCGATCACTTGATATGACGGACGAACAGGGCAGGACCGGTCTTCATCTCCTTGCTGGGATGCCTCGTGCTTTCAAGAGTGGATGCGCAATGCCCAAATATTCCATTAAGAACCTGATATACTGTTGTATGTTTGATGCAACATTTTCTTTTTCATTCATTTATTTTATTTGATAAGCATTAATAAGCTAAACCCCGTTCGAGCATCTGCTCTCAAGGAAAGCTGTTTAACCGATTAATTAAACACGATTTTCGGGTTTTAATTGTTTTTCGGGAGCCATGTAAAATTGTATTGCTTTAAATCCTCCAAGGTTTGATTAGACTTAAGTTGAGAGTTTTTTCCAGGCCTTTCCGCATCAAATGGTGATGTTGACCAGAGCAAGAGTAAAAAAGGTACTGAAAATTGAAACTATTTTGCTATCTTGGACAGCCCTAAATCATCAAGTAATTCAACTATTATATTGATAATAATATTGCTCTGACCGATGCTGCCTGGGCATTGTGGTTTTAAACACAAGCAACCAGGGTTTAAAGCTTTAGAAACAATAACGATACTGCTCATGCAACAATATCCTCCTTAGTAAGTGTCAAAAGTAATTCGTGGAAGGACGAAATTTCCTGCTGTCAACAACAACAATGCTAAATAGATGTATTTTAGAAGCATGTTAGATGATATTTCAATAATTTCCTAACAATTATAGGATTGACTTGAGACTCAATCTAAGATCCTTCATATCTAGAGATAGCCTCCCTATTTAGAGATTAAATATGATTCTATTTCTTATTTAGGTATAGGTTTCAATTGTTTCATATTTTATCTCGGTATCAGAGCCCCCTCCTATGTCCTGGGTTTTTTCCAGCTTAAGCAAGCTTTCAGTGTTTTCTTTTTTATTTATTTCATCACATCGCTGTCACTCTTTGTTCTCCCAAATTTCATTTTTTTCTCAACAATTCCTAGACCGTTGGATTTCTCGTTATTTCCGACGAAGTTTCATTGTCATTGGATCTATCTCCATAAACATCTTCTGTAACATCGCCTACTCTTACGTGAGTGTGATTCACGCTCCTTTGTTATTTCTCCTAGTTTTCTAGTTCAACCAAATTATGTACAAACTGTATTGGGTCTTTTGGTTCGACCTTTCTTTACTTGGTTTGGTGTTGTTGCAGACTAGTTCCTAAGATTTCTGGGCGTGTTCGTTCCAGTTTTAGCATTGGTCTATGCATATTCGACCTCTTTAATATTGTTTCAGCGTTGGTTTTCTTTGAGGTCTTCTTGTTTATACATGCTCTCAACCTAAGCTTTGAAGTTCTATTTTATTAAATAGATTGTCTTTGATTTTTTGACTTAGATTTTCTGGGCTTGCCAGTTAATAAACCATTGTTTTCGTGGCTCATTCTATGCCATTTGTGATTCTTGTATCTCAATACCCATGGCCACAACCCTTATTTTCTTTCATAGCATGTTTTCTTTCAACACATTCGATTGGTGGTGCCACCTGCTACTCTTAAAGATGTTTTTCATTTCTGAATAATGAGCACGGTAACTCTTTACTTTTATTTTTCAATGAATTATACTTTACATTCAGGATCAACATAAAATTTCAATTAATTTTAATGAAAACATAAAAATATTCTACCATTTACCTCAACAACCCAGATAACGAAATCAGCCCATTAGAGTGCACGAACTTTAATTATTTACTTTCCCTGTCCACGACTTATTCTCCCCTTCTCACAAACACAAATAGCAAAATTTTTATGATTAAGTCATTGAAAGGTAGACATAATTGTATTAGGTCATTCACCATTAATTAATGCAACTAAACATGAGCGGCTAAAAACTACCACCTATAATAAATGGTGATCATAACATATGAGCTTAATGTTCTTTTAGATGATAAGTTTCGAATAAATTCGTATCCAATGCAGTTGTGGAGAGTTAAAACAAAAGCTAGGGAATTTGTAGAAGACAATTATTAGGAGTCTTACAAGACGCTGCCAAGATATTTTAGCTATTAAAAGAGTTTAATCATAGTTCTGATGTCCAAGACATGTTTAGTTATCAAAAGAGTTTAACCTAATTTTAATCATAGTTTTTTTAGCTCTAAAGCTTTTTTATGGTTTGACTCTAATTTTAATGTTGATGTGCATTCACCTAATGAGTTTCAAAGAATCTATATTTTCTTGAAAGCCATACTTGCAAATATAAAATTGACACAGGAGTAGAAATTTGGACACATCTCACCAAATTTGAACATTTGTATTATTTTCTCGTATACTCTATTCATGTTTGCAGAAAATTCATTATAGCTCTCTCTCTGTATATCATGATAGGATGGCAAATTGGAAAAATCATGATAGGATGGAAAATTGGAAAAATCCAGAAAAAAAAGAACAAGCATGAATCTGCACTGAAACTTGCCCGGTGGCTTATAGAAAAGAACAAGCATCATTGGTGGCAATCTATCAATGTAGTGGGTTCTAACATAGTTAATATCGAAACCCCTGGTCAAGGAGGAAGCAGACAACAAAGTGATGGACAAAAGGGTGGAAGAAACCCAGGGGAAGGAGTAGGAAAAGAAGGACAAGGAGGAGATCCAGGGGATGGAGGAGGAAAAGGAGTAGACCAAGGGGAAGGAGGAGGAAAACGAGGACACTCGTCGTTTATAGCAACTAGTAATGAAATGTTGTTTATAGCAACTAGTAATGAAATGGAAGAGATTGCTAAACAAGGAGTAGACCCAGGGAAGGGAGGAGGAAAAGGAGGACAAGGAGTAGACCCATGGAACGGAGCAGGAGCAGTACACCCGTTGTTTATAGCAACTAGTAATGGAATAGAAGAGATTGCTAAAGAAATACTTCAAAAATTTCCTCAATATGTTGAGCTTATTAATGAAACAGGACAGAACATAATGCATGTAGCTGTGATGCATCGACAGTGGGCGATTTACCGTTTTGTAGAGAAAAAGTTCAAACCAATTATGGTCAAGCTGAGTTGGAAGATCGATAATAATGGCTACACTTTGTTACACCACATTGCACACATGAAGCACTACCGCGGAGGAACCAAGCCCAGCCCCGTGCTCAAGCTACAAGAAGAAATACAATGGTTCAAGGTGAGTTAGCTACTCTTGTACTATCGTAACCCCATGTCATATTTTTATGAGATACATGTTGGAAGAAACTCTAGGTGTGGTAGAAGCTAATCCCTAAAGAGCAAAACTAAACAACAAGAAATATTTGAGAAAAATAATGTTTTTCATTAAGTGTTTTCTCAAAGTTACTCTTAAACTCTTCTGCATGCATCTATCACATTTTGATTATAAGCTTTTTCTTGAATATACTAAATTTTATAGTTATCACGGGTCAAACAAAGACATTGAAATGGGATATTTAGATTGGCTATGTAAAATAATCAAACACAAGCTCTCGTATCATTTATTGGAATAAATTTTATAAGCTTTTTTATATACATCTCTTAGTTCTGATTACAAGCTTATTTATATAGATACAATCCTAGGCAATAAAAAGTTTAAATTAACAAAAGGAAAATTTAAGTTGATAAGAAAATGTATTTTATCTACTCATCCCTTGATTTTTTTTTAACTGATCAATCAATTCATTTAATTAATTTAATTGCTCTAATTCAATCAGTTGACCAATTCCCAATTAGTTGACCTGTCCAACTAATTCTTTAGAAATTTAGTTTATTTTTAACTATATAATTCTTTATTCCTAGTTATGAGTAGTATTTATTAGTTAGGTAAAATTAAAGAATTTTTTTAATTAAGCTCAAGAACAAGAAAAAATTTAAGATATATTGATATGCTTTATTAAGTGTTGCTCTTTTTAATATCACTCTTTATATTATTGAATTATAATTTTGATTTCAATTTATAAGTTTAAAATTCTAGATAAATAAACAATTAAATTAATAAAAATAAAATCTAATCTGAAAAAAAAATAATAATTTTACCAACTTAACCAATCAATTATTTCTCAACCAATCAACTAATTCGCAACCAATACACAAAAACAAACTGAAATCTAAGTTCATTTTCAATGCCCATATTCGAATTTACTTCAAAATCAGTGAAACGCAGCTCTTTATGCCCTGCAATAAATAAGAGTGTACTTCAATGTACATTCTGTTGCTTTAATAAAAGAGAATACGTGTCCATGATAGGGAACCCATTTTCCTGTAATTAATGACACTGTACCGACACTAATGAATTTGTTTACATGTTATCTGTCCGTGCAGCGGGTGCAGAGGGTGGTTCCACCTTTTATGTTCGAGCAGCGGGTGAAGGGGGGTGACTTGTTGTCGACGAAGCCACCAGACTGCTTAGTACTTTGATGCAAAGCTGAAAAGACATCATCCCATAGAGGTTATTTTCCACCAGCTTCCTCTTGCTTTCAAGATTAATAAATATTATAAAAGATAAAAATACAAATTATAATTTCTTATCTTAAGCATTAAAAAAAAAATTCTTACCATGTTAGCTCAATATGATGCAAATGACACTGTTCCTCCAGAATGAGTGCTTATTTTGCCATCTGTTTTGGTTAATCGATTCCTCCTAGCAGATTCAGACCTCCTTTGAAATTCAGGGGTGGACCAAACATCTTTGATCATTTGATTCCAGTCATCATTATTTATCCAGGCAGGACCTTTATCAAGGCAATCTACAATATTTGTAGTGTTTTCTTTTGACATGGCTTTCTTGCGAGCTCGTGTTAATTGTTGATTCAAAGCTATCCTTGTCTTATCTTCCCAAATATTACGAACAATCGACTCATCTTCCTCAGGAAAAGAATATTTTTTCTACCAAATAATATATATACGAAGTAAAAAAAGTGCACAAAATTTCAAATTATATAAATAATTAACATATTGTGTTATCTTGTTCAAAATTTGCAAGATGATGTAATAACTATAGAAATTAAATGATATTAAAAAGTAAACATGAAATAAGTACAAATTATAACACAAATCAATCATAGCTAATTGATAATTTTCATAATCCTACATTAAAGTTATCAAAATTAAAAAGAATATTATGGCAATTAGTGTTGGTTCTTACCTTAAACTCTTTAAACAGTTCATCCCTGCACATTGAATCTACTTTTTCCCAAGAGTGCCATGCTCCCTTAAAATTGGACCTCAAAATATCTCCGATTGCACGCCCACACGATGCGTTATTGAACCTGAAAATATATAATAACAAACTTATATTAAACAAATAATTACACAATAAAAAGTAATTTTTTTCATACCTGAAAATATAACTTTAATAAGTTTGTTTTCAAAAGTTTGAACTTACTCTGTTGTTCCATACAAACAAAGCTCTTTTTTTCTTGTTATTGGATCTATTGGCGTGTCAAAACCCTTCCTTTTAACACTTTGATCATAATTGTGTGGAGAACATGTTGAACCATGATATGATGGAACACCATCTTGATCCTCATCACATACACCTCTCTCATTACTATCGTCTCCCTCGTCTTCATCTCTAACGTTCACATCATCATCATCACCATTAACTCTCTCATAACTCCTATACAAATTATGTCCTCCATAAACAAATTGGTTATCTCGAGGGAAACCTCCTTGAGTTTGAAGCAAATCTTGGAAACGAAAGCCCTCACAATATTGATATGCATCAACCCTCCTATAATCACGTTGAGGAGGATGTGTACTCCCCAAAGTAGGTATATAATACTCATTTGCATTCTGATACACAGGTTGATGAAATGTGGATCCTTTGTTATTATGCCTTGATGTAGTTTGAAATGATTTGGATGAAGTGGACCTGTCACTCCTTGATGTGGACCTGTCACTCCTAGAATCTAATATAGATCCTCGTCGAGGCATGCTAAAATTATCCATACATATATTAAAGATAATTCATTACATGTACTACAAAATATAATTAAATTGCGCTACTCATTATTATCATCACTCCTAACCATCACCACCATAACAATCATCCTCATCCTCATCATCTTCTTCTTCACCGTCACCGTCACCGTCACCATCACCATCACCATCATCATCACCATCACCATCATCGTCACCATCACCGTCACCATCATCATCTTCTTCTTCATCATCTTTGTTTCCCCAATTTATGTCAAGTTGAAGCAATTCATGTTGCCCGATTTCTTCATAATAAGATGATTCAACAAGTATATTTGGATCATCAAGTGTTTGAGTAGGAAGGACACAACATGGTTGAGAAATCTCATCTGATTGATCAACATCAAATGATGTTACATTGTTGGCATCTTTAATAAATTCACCCATGTCAACATTATAACGACTTCTAGCAATTGTCTTAATAACCGTCCACCATTCAGATGATTTATTACCAGGTGGATATGTATAGTAGACTTGTTGACATTGTTGTGCTAGCACAAAATCTTCATTTCCTTGTAGTCGAGATGTATGCTTGATTTCAACCAAACCATTCGAAGGATGCACTCTAATTCCTCGTCTTGTATCATACCAATTACACTTAAACATGAATAACTTGCACTTACTCCCTAAGTATTTTAGCCGAACAACTTCTTTAAGCATTCCATAATAATCACGTTCATTATCATCATAGCAACTTCCTTTCACACAAACTCCACTATTCATTGTCTTTTTAAAACGACCATAACGTTGAGTATGAAATTTAAAACCATTCACATAATACCCATTATAGCATTTCACTGAAGTTGAAGGGCCCATAGCAAGTCCAAAAAGCTGATTTTGAATTCCATTAGATTGGTATTCCACCTAGCATAATAGTTAACTCCATAAGAAATAATAATTTAAAAGAGATTAATAATATTTTTAAAGTAACTAATTGACATAAAATATAAATTAATTTTATTAAAATACTTACATTATTTTTTAACCAATTTGGAAAGATCACTTCGCATAATTTTTCAATTTCACCATCACTCGCATATGGTTGTTGTGACTTTAGCTCTTGACGGCATTGCCTAAAATTTAAAAAATGTTAAAGTTAATAATAAATTATTATAAATTTAGTAAAAAATAATATTTCATACTTACTCTAAATAAGGCTTCAGTTCTTGACAATTGAATATCACATAGTTGTGCGCAATTTGCATTTCAGCATGTGACAACTGCCTTCTATAAAATCTTTTGGATAATTTTTTTCCTGGATAGGAAAAAATAGAGAGACATCCATCTACACTTGTAAGGCCACCACCATCATTCCGTGGAACTCGATTCCAAATTGTTTGCACGTCATCACCAAAATAATGAGATGCAAAATTGGTAATTTCATCAATCAAGTACGCCTCACATATGGAACCCTCAACTTTAGCTTTATTGGTAACTTTCTTCTTCAAATAAAACATATACCTATATCATTTTTTTCAATTAGTTTATTAAAAAAAATGAATAAAATGAACATAGTATGAAGCATACCGTTCAAATGGATACATCCATCGATATTGAACTGGTCCACCAACTTTTGCCTCGTAAGGTAGATGTATCATCAAGTGTTCCATGGAGTCAAAGAAGGATGGAGGAAAAATCCTTTCAAGTTTGCAAATTATTTCAATTATATTCATCTGCATTAACTCCATGTGCTGGGCATTTAAATTTGTTGAACAAATATCTCGAAAAAATACGGATAGTTCAGTTAAAGCCTCCCACAATGGTCTAGGTAAGTAAGGTCGGAAAGCGGTTGGAAGAAGTCTTTGAATGAAGACATGACAATCATGGCTCTTCATCCCCGAAACCTTACATTGTGCCTCTTTCACACATCGTGAAATGCTTGAAGCATAACCATCAGGAAATGATAACTCCTTCATCCATGACAACACTTCTTGTTGTTGTTTCTTGTGTAGACAATAAGTGCTTTTAGGTTTGTAAACCCGACCACTCATATCTTGTTGCAAATGTAAATTTGGCTTATGACAATACAATTGAATATCCAACCTAGCCTTTAAATTGTCCTTGCTTCTATAAGGACAATCCATTACTGTATAAAAAATATTGTCAAAGACATTTTTCTCAATATGCATGACATCAAGATTATGACGAATCAAATTTATATGCCAATATGGAAGCTCCCAGAAAATACTCTTCTTCACCCAATTGTGTTTAACACCAAATCCCGGAATTTTAACATTATATGATGAACCTCCAATATGTCCCTCAGTATACTTGGACACTTCATTTAACATTTCCAAACCAGATGGACGAGGTATAGGAGGGAGCCTTTCAATTACTCCTTTCAAAAACTTATCTGATTGATGTCTATATGGGTGGTTCATGGGTAGGAATCGTCGATGACAATAAAAAAATGTAGTTTTCCGTCCATTTTTTAATCTAAAAGCCTTGCTATGCTCCATACAATAAGGACAAGAGAGATTTCCATGAGTACTCCACCCCGATAACATGCCATATGCTGGAAAGTCACTAATGGTCCACATCAAAGCTGCCCTTAATTGAAAATTTTCTTTTCTGTAGACATCATATGTTTCAACACCAACAGACCATAAATTCTTTAACTCATCAATCAAAGGTCTTAGAAAAACATCAAGCTTTTTACCCGGATTCTTTGGCCCAGGAATCAGCATTGTCAAAAACATGAATGGTCTAGTCATGCACTTCCACGGAGGCAAATTATAAACAGTCACAATTACTGGCCAACAAGAGTATGTATTTGAAGACATGTCAAATGGACAAAACCCATCAGTGCACAACCCTAATCGAATATTTCTCGGATCTGATGCAAAGCTGAAGTGAACACGATTAAACTCCTTCCACGCCTCCCCATCAGATGGGTGCACCATAACCCCATTATCTGACTTGTGATAATGATGCCATGTCATATCTTTGGCGTGATATGGAGACATGAACAGTCTTTGAAGCCTTGGTGTTAAGGGAAAGTATCGAAGTTGCTTCTCTGCCTTATTGGAACCTTTACTGGTTGGATTTCTAGGTTTGTATCGTGAACTTCCACAAAAATCACAATTTGTTTTCATTGCATCAGCCCCATAGTACAACATACAATAATTAGGACACACATCAAATTTCTCATACCCAAGTCCAAGTGGTCGCATAAATTTCTTGGCATCATAAAAATTTGATACCAAATTTTCATCATTAGGCATGCAACTTTTTGTAAAATCAATAAAATTGTTGAAGGCATTCTGAGTCAAATTAAATGTTGACTTCATATTAAGCAATTGTACACAAGCAGATAATTTGGATTGCTTGGTACACCCATCCCACAACGGCTCCTCCGCAGCTTTCAAAAGATTAAAAAATTTAGTTGCCTCCGGATTTGGAATTTCCCCTGCTACCATAGGACTAGACACGTTATCATTATAGAATGCATCACCAACCCCCATTGCATCTATAACTAGATTTCTATATGGATTCTCTAGACAAACATCATTCATAACATGACTCATTCCAATTGATGAAGGTCCAGCCAATATTGGTTCCGTAACATAAGGCTCCCCATGTACTGTCCAATTTTCATAACAAGGTATAAAACCTTTTGTCAATAGATGTTTACAAACATCATCTTCCTTTAAAAACTTTTGATTTTTGCACCTCACACAAGGACATCTAATTTTTCCCCCAGATATATTTTTATCAATTGAAAATGCAAAATTGATAAATCTTCTAACACCGGTAATGTATTCAGGACGAAGGCGACCATCCATAAGACGACGATACATCCATGATCGATCATCCATGTTAATCTAATTAACAGGACAACACCAATAAGTATTTTTAGAAATAAGCATACTTCTTTAACTACTACTATTTAAACAATCCTTTAAAATAAAATATGTACAACATGAATAAACTATAATTATTTGTCCAGTTCAAACATATATCAAGCTAAAAAATGTTAATGATGGGATATATGCACATGTGTTTGTTAAAACCTGGATAATTATTTTCCTTCTAGTCTTTGTTATTGAGTTTTTGTTAAATGCTTTAAATAAATCTTAATAATTTTCATTTATATTTATATAAGCCAATTATTGACAAAAGTACACTTTTAGATTATGTTTGATTAGTATTTTATACAGAATAAATGGATAAAGAAAAAAAATATTTAGTTGAAAAAATATTAAATAAATTTATCTTTACAGTAGTTTTGGATTTAATTTTTTTTTATTGATCCTTCTAACTTTTGTTACAACCTCAAATGAGTTTTTTATTTTTTTTTTAGCCTTTTATTTTTATTAGATCCATCAAAAAATTTTATTTTTATTCAAATCTTTTTTTGGTAAACTAAGAAATGGTAAATGAAATCATAATCATATATTCAGATCTTTTTATTTTTATTCCAACATTTGTATCTTTGTCTCTTTAATTATATACAATGTATCTATGTTTTATATCATAGTGAAATAATAATTAAATATCAATTATTTTTTTGATACTTGTCTTCTCATAACAAATATTTTTTTTCATTTAAGATCCAACCTGATAAATTTCATTTAATTTAATAACAAGGAACTAACTTATAGTTTTCAAAAAAATTAATTATAATTTACTGTAATTATTATCTCTTAAAACCTATAACTTAATATGAATTTTTATGGGCAGGACATAATTTTTCTACAAAACCAAGCCTTTGCATAAAAGGAAATTCTAATGACATGCTTTTAGTTCAAAGAGCAAAACAACAAGGTATAAAAAGCATAGCACAACGAAAGCTGGATGCATTAAATGATATTCCATGTAAATGACATGTAGTATAACAGCACAAGACCTCAAAAGAACAAAGCATTAAGGAGACCATAGTAAATAGTAATAAGAACGCAACACACCGTTTTCGTGCAAAGAAGAACCCAAAGGATGATTAATTATTGAGGAAGATAACTTGCTGCCACGCTTAAAAACCTAATTCATCATATTGAACAAAGTCATGTCAGGACCCAGAAATTAAAAAAAAAGCCAAATAACAAAGCAAACATTAGGTACTATAACAGTTGTGAGCTTTAGTCATCTCAACAAAGGAAGAGATGATGTGTTGCTAAAATGTTCCCGAAATAATTCATGTACCTTATTGAGAATACTTCTCTTTTAAGATTAACCTTATTAAGCATACTCAAGAATAAACACAAGGTTATACTGATTTGGATTTGTCCTTTATAAACTATGTCTTTATGGATAATTAAATATTGAAAGCATACTGCTTTATGGTACTACAGGGATCAAATTAGCTTTAGTTGATTTTCAGTTTCAACTAACCTTTAGTTGATTGAAATGATTAAGCATGTTTCATGCTCTCCACACACACATATACATACATTTATGTCTACTAGCAGTCAAAATAAATCACTTGAGAACTTTATTATTCAGGAAAAGGAAAAGGGCTTTGATAAATAAAGCAATGGAACTAGAATCAAGTTCCTAAAGCAAGTATTAATTTCATAAATATCTGACATCAATGAAATCCAAGAATTGACATACATATTTGATATTACAAGGTTTTTTTTGGCTATCTTTCAGTTATGAAAAGTGGAATATATCTATGTTATCATATACAATTATCTTTTAAGATAGTATTTTAGAATATACTTTGCTGAGAGCAATTTTTTTCTCCTGTTCCAAGCATAACCACCATAAACATTAAGCCGCCCAACTACTAAGAACTTGGAAACCCGAGACAATGTATACAGAGAATAGAGAGAGTTCCAATTGAAATATCTCCAAGCAATTGCTACTGTTATGGCATGTTCAACTAGTATGTGGTGCTGACATTCCACTGTCATTATCCAGGACAAGCCATCTACACGATTACCCCACAAATAAAGAGAGCATGTTTAGCTTGCTTAAAAATAATGAATGAAGATACAAAAATAAAACAACAATCTTATTAACAAAACACAATATCAACAACCAAGTTTCTTTTTATATATATAAGTATATGAATGCATTTAAATCACCTAGGTGTTGGCGCACAGGAGGACAAAAAGACTTGCAGACATCAAAGAACACCCATCAAAGAACACCCAGCATCAAAAAACTAATTGTTAAAAATTAAATTGGGGGTTTTGCTAAATTTTCAATTAAACAGGCATAATTTCCATAAATCACTCTCTTCCAGACACAAGAATTGCCAGCATTGGTCAATTTGCATAAAATCATTCAATTTATGAACCGTAACCCTAAAAATTAATTTGGGGGTTTTCATAAATTTTCAATTAAACATGCATAATTAGATTATAAATCATGGTAAAAACATTTTATAAACCTTATATTATTGAATTAATAGCCTAAAACTATTATTCAAAGTATCAGGAAAAACAATTGTTACCTGTACGTTCTTCAGTTACAGATGAGAGAGATGGATCAACACGAAAAGATAACACCTGAGATTAGAAAATTTAGGTTAGAACTGTTTAGTGTAACTTCAATTGCAACAAAAAAAATAAAAACCCTAAATTAGTTACCTGAGCTATTGAAGAAAAAAGTGCAAAACCTAACCCGTTTACAGAGAAAGGGTAAATCAGGATGTTCGATACTGATGATGATGGGTCTGGTGCGATGTTACCATGGGTCTCTGTTTTTCTTGCTTTATATAGAAATATTGAAACTGGTAAGATCGATGAAGGAGAAGAAGATGAAGAAAAGAAATTACAGATGCTGAAGATGAATGCGAAAATGATGAACAGTTTCGGATAAAGGAATATGAAATCGATGAAGAGAGGGTGATTTTTCAACAGTTAGGGATTGATATTGTTATTAGGGATGACGGATGCACTGGAAGAGTGAAAGTGATGTAATTTTCAGCTGTAAATGATTTTGTTGGTGTCTGTATTTCAGTGTGGGGGGAAAGAGCGAAAATAAACGGTTTAGATTTTATGCAATCAACGGTCAACATAATTTCAGCTTTATATTAATATTTAAATTTTATTTTTTTAATTAGCAACGGAAAATCCGTTGCTAAATTCAATGTAAATTTTGCAACGGATTGTCCGTTACTAAAATCCATTGCTAATATTTAAAAAATAATATATATATAATCCGTTGCAAATCTGTTACTGAATTTAGCAACGGAATTATCCGTTGCTAAATTCAGATGCTAATAGCCCCTGTTTTTTGTAGTGACAGGTCATTCCCTGATTGTCCTTCATTTCATGAAGTGATGGATCCAGTTTCAGCAACGTCAGAGCAGTGTCTGCATTAGAAAGTATAATGTCATTTTACTTTCTTTTTTTTCCTAATAAATTGTAGATTTAAGTTGTACCTAAAGTGTTTGGTGATGAATGTGTGTGCTAGATGTCTTAAGAATCTCGTTTGAGAGAGAATAAAAGGATTAAGAACAGAACCAAAGTGTTGTCCTTGGATGGCAGCATGAAGAATCGGCTTTGAATCTTCTCTCTTGCTGTGATCCTCTGATAGCTTTCCCTCTGAGATTTGGCCAGTTTGTCGAGCTAAATACTTCACTATTTCATTCTTACCACATGCAGCAGCTCTATACAATGGAGTCTCCCCAAGCGCGTTTTTAGTCTGAAGTTGCATTGAAAGATCATATTCACCGTGGAGTAAGTGCTCTACTGCTTCCATATTTCCAGCAAAAACTGCTTCATGAAGAACTGTATTTCCATACGCGTTCTTTTTTGTATAGGGATCCCCGAGCACTGGAGTTTTTTTGGCAATATCGAGTAGAGTTTGAAGCGGCTTAATCTTGTTGCTATACACTGCCAGGTGCAATGGAGTATCTTCCGAAACCGTTACTGGAGACATCACGTACATATCACTGCTGCCACTGCAAGCACATATCATCCTATCCCAGTCTTCTTCCAAGGCTGCTAGGTAGACATCCTTCGCTACAGTTATATATGTCCCCATTTGGCCTTCTCTCTTCATTTTTCGTCTACCTTAAAGTTATCTGCAATTGCATTCATTATTAATTAGGAGCGAGCTCGTAATGCTACGTGCGTTCTTGTTTCCAGCATACTCTTCATTGAAAACATTAAGTAAACAAAAAACAAATAATTTGGAAGACTGTTAAGGGTGGAGGGCTTGGCGGATTAACATCTATAAATTGAGTGCTAAGCAATTTACTGAGGATGTTTCAAAATTTATTGACAATCAATTAATCCATTCGTTAAGTACTCTGTCGAACTCCTCACCAAGTGCCAATATCTAACTCGACCTCTAATCTTAAAAAGAAAAATCGATGCCAAATTAATACAAGGAAATTCTTAAAAAGAACTTATCAATTTCTAAAAAAGTTGGGCTAATCCCTTCTTCTTGTTTTTTTTTTTAATAATATAGACATTAACAAAACAACTAAAAGACAGGGGAAGGTTGAATAGTGAAACGACTGACTCTTTTTTTCTCTCATTTTCAAACTTTTTTTTCTTTCAATTGTTCCCTTTTATAATCTAATTAAATGAATTAAGCTTGAAATCATAGTAAAAAAAATTATATGTAAAGATAGAGGACTAGCATATAAAATATGAAAAAAAAATTGTTAATCACATGCTAATGATGCTTTTTGTACTGATCAAAAAGTTTATTTTTTTTATTTTTCAATCTCATGACTTGAGAGAAAAAAAATTAGTTTAAGAATAGTAAAGAGAGAGAAAATAGTTATAATACCAACTCAACCAATCATGAAAAGTTTTAACTTTAGTGTTAATTAATTTCAATTCTATTCCATTATAGTGAATACAAAAAAGTTAAAAAGAGTTTATTTTCTTTTCACTTATTAATTTTATTAAAATAATATTTTTACCCTTCGAATTAAGAAAAATTAAGCCATGTATCCCGGGGTATTTTTTTTCTTTTCACATATGTTTTTTTATATATATAATTTCACAAGCATGGAGGGCAATTTGATTTTTTCACTTGATAAATTAATATTTAAATCTAAAAGTTGATAGTGCATGCAATATAGGTGCCTGCCCCTTTTATGGACATGTGCAATGCTCGATGACCATACTTACCTTTCTATTATGTTGTTGGAAGCATCATTACATCCTTTTTCTTTTGATGCGATGCAAGGAAAGAAGTGAAGCATGCAGGAAAAAAAGCAACCATGTATATAATTCTATATTGATCATCGTAGTTACAAGCACAGCTACAAATGAAAGGGAAAACCTTGACACCGAGCATTATAACACGCGGCTTTACTAGAGCAAATCTTCACTCTGAGAATGCATTGACGAAGGGATTTAAACAAGTTAGGAGCAAGTATATATTCTTACCTAGCTCAGCCTATCCTTCACAATGTCGAATCGTCAGGTTCGCTTCTTTGCGCCTCTGGCTTTCCTCTCCTCATTAATCTTCTAGTCCCACAGACTTTTGAATCCTGATAAATTCTGCGACGTTACAGCTTTAGAAAAGGATAGATCACTTTATAACCTGGTCCCCTTCTGCTCACACCTCCCCCGGAAAAAAAAAAAAAAAGGCCTCAAGACAAAAAAACAAATAAAAAAGAGTAGTAGAGTTGACTGGGATCGTGCAATCTTTTATTTAGCTCAGGGAATAGGTTTGGCTAACCTCGTGCATGTATCTTAGCAGCCAGTTTAAAAATTGGGTAGAAATCCTCGTAAGAGTGTTTGGCCCCTTAATTTAAAATTTTTCTTTTATTTTAAAGAAAAGGCAATTAAATTCACTAACTAAGTGTTTCATAATGATTTTAACACTATATAACTTAATTTTTGACAATAGAGTGTGATTTAATTTAAAAACATGTTGAGTTCTCCATAAAAGAAGAAGAAAAAAACAGAAAAGGCAGAGATGAGTCTTAATTAAACTATTTAGTATTTCTGTTTATAAAAACACCCAAAGAATTACCTTTTATTATTTAAAACATAAATTCATTTTACTAATAATAGTATTCTTTTTTTTCAACAATTTATTTTAATTTAAGAAATCTTTGGATTTAAGTTTTATCCTTAATAGCAATTTCAATTCATATAAAACAACTCCAAATTACCACACGTTTAGGTGACTTTACTCACTGTAGAAAGCAAAAGTACTATGTTTAATTTGAAAAATATTTAATTGATTTTTTTAGTATTTTTTTATTGTTTCAATATGCTAATATTAAAAATATAAAAAATTATTTAAATATATTTTTAAATAAAAAATACTTTTAAAATATATAAAAAAAACAGAAATTATCAGAATATCAAACTTTCACTATAGTATTTTAGATTGTTTTTACTATCTGTTTATGAGATGATGACAACTTTATAGATTATTTATTAATTAATGAATAAAAGGAACGTGAAAGCATCGTTACGGGAACAACGGAAAAAACCTTCATTTAACTTATTACATGGCATGTACCTTTGATTTTAGATTATTTATTAATCAATAAATAACAATGCACATGTTTTCTCAACAATGCACATGTTGTAAGAAATGAAAAATAACAATAGCTTGACTTAACTTTTTTTATTTTTTATGGAAATAGCTTGACGTAGTTAACATTAATGGCTTTTGACTTAGTTTTGAATATTTCAGTCACCACCGTACCATATTTTTACTATGAAGTTGGAATTGGAATATGTGCCTTTCATATTGAATGCCTCACGTGGTGATGAGTTTTCCAAGATACGCTGGAAATTAGTATTTTTTAGGTGGTTTTCGTGTAAAATAATTTATTTTTTAATATTTAATAATATTATAAAAACTAGGTTAAAAAGTACCTTTCAAGTATTTAGTTATATTATGTAAAATGAGTTGAAAAATAATTTATTAATATTTTGATTTTTTTAAGTTTATTAAAAAAATAGAGACCAAATATAACAAATAAAAAAATTAAAACATAATGAAATTAAAAAAATTAAGAGCTTAAAATAAAAATAAAAATTATTATTTTATTATAAATAACTATTTTACAATTAAATAGAAACTTATTATTATAAGAAGTTCAACTTTCTAAGTGTTTACGGTAAAGATTAATTTTTAAAATATTTTTGTAAAAATAGGTCAAAATAATTTTTATATATAAAATGAAAATAGTATTGAATCTATTAATTGTTAACAATAAAATACTAGTCTTAAGATCATTGTAATTCATTTTCTATAACTTCTCTGAAAAACTATATTTTCAATCAAAATATTTGGATTTTTTTAAAATCAAATAGTTTTAGTAGTTCTCTACATACAAGTGTTTAATTTTTTTTAATAAATCAGAATTAGTCTCTCTTTTTTTCAATAAGATACAGCATTCATTTATTATTAGTTTTTGTGGGTTCAATAGAATATAGATGTTTTCTTAAAAGATACGTTTTCAATCAAAATACATGTTTTTTAAGTAACTCTTTTAAGGTTTTATCAAAAAACATGTGTTTAATTTTTAATACAGAAATTAATTTAATTTATTATTTTTAATAAGACATGTTATTAAATTAATGGTCTTAATTTATTGACAAAAGACTTATATATGAGAAAAGCCACATCGCGCGGTTTAACAACTAATTATTTTATATATTATAAACTTTTATTTATTCAGTGACCGGAGTTGGGCTATGATATATATAGCATGTTCATGTATAATTAAAAGACCGTGCATTTTATATTATTTGTTGTTAATTAATTAATCAGTAACATGGACGCTTACAATTGACTTATCATGTTTTTTCGAGAACACACATGCGCAGCTCTTACTTTGAAATTTCCATTAATAGCTTGACTTCATTTTTAGTCTTTTTATTATTATTATTATTTTCATTCACCATTCCTGGATAGTGCAACTTTTTAGATTAATAATTAATAGCTTGACTTTGGTTTTAGTCTCAATTAATAATTAAAGGAGAAGCGAGAACATTGTTTAAAAATACCCATTGTAATAGGGTTTTATTGAGAAATTGAAGGAAAGAAATTCTTAAAAGTCCTTCTAATTCACCATATATAATGAAATATTCTAATCCTTTTGTAATTGAACTTTATTATTAAAAAACTACCATCCTAGTTAAAAATTCAAACTAAATATAATGAAAAGTTATAAAATAATTGAGGATAAAGTTAAAAATAATTTTAGATAAATGTAAATTAACTTATACAAATCATATTTTAATTTATAAACACGGCTAGTCGTAAACACGAGTCCAATGAAATAGTCTTGGATGAGTAAGATGTATCTTTTTTCTTCATTTCTTTTTTTTTTTTTCTTGTTGGAGCTTCGTTGGACCTTAATTAACATGGAGTAAGATGATATCTGAGACGAAATTAAATAATTATGAATTAAAGTATCGTGTGTTATCATGATCCCTTCCGAATGGACAACAAGATTAACATTTATCACCGTCTAAAAAGTCAACAGCCCACATATACTCTTAAATTTTTCGAAATCAACTAGACTAGGATGGGATTATTTCAATGGCACCGATATCCATAAATCTCTTAAAAAATATGTGATAAATTATTAAACATGTTAAAAGATCCATCCTATCTTTCATCAAAATATAAAGTTTATTTTTAAAATAATTCTTCATATTTCTTAGATTATTAGTTTTTCTTATCTATCCTTTTCTTCCTCGAAATAATTATTTATTTCCTGACATAAAATTAAATGTAGAATCTAAAATTTATATTAATAATAAATCTAATATTTTTAATGAAATAGTGTAACATCATTCTAATAATATATAGCCTAATCCCAGAGACATTGGATTCCTCACCTCTCTCCTATTAATTTGTCACAGTTCACCGCAACCTCCGTATTTTTCCCTCCTTCCCACAACCTCAACAACCGAATACTTTTGGATTTTTTTTTATAAAAAAAGTAGTGCATTCGGTCAAAGATATTGATAAAATAATTTTCTTTGTATGATTTAGTGAAAATAAATTTAATTTTTATTAAATATTATTATTTTTAATCATACTTAAAATAATAACATTTAAATAAGTCACTGTACTCTAAAGCTCAACAACTTAGCATATAGCCTCAAATAATAATTTAAAAAACTCATAACTTTTAATCTAATTATTATATAATATTTAAATTTTAAAAAAAAATTAAAAGTTATTTTTCTTAAATTTAAGTGATTATGAAATCGCTACTATAACTATTAAATTTTAAAAATATTTTAAAAAATATTAGGGCTCGGGGTTAAGCTTAATTGTAATAGTTTTGTAATTGTTTTTGTTATTTTTAGAATTATTAAATAGGTTTAATTAATCATTATAAACCAATCCATTAATTAATCTAAATTTAATTAATATTGTCTTTTAAAAATGCAATATTAAATTAAATGTCATAATTTAGAATTACAACATTCAAATCTATGCTATTCCGCGAAATTTTGTTTTCTGCCGCAAAGCCAATTCGCCGTTTGTGTGCTAATTACCCCATATGCTCCACATTTTCTGCTCCATCAGGGACAATAGGTGATGGGACTTGGGATAAGTTACAGGCTTGTCGGTGGTGGATGTGGATTCTATTTCTCACGGTGATGAATTTTTTTGAGTAAATGAATTTCTCGATCTCGAACAAAGATTTATTTATTTATTATTCCTTCTCTCCTTTTCTTATATTAATATTATAATTTTTGAATTGATTTTTTTTTTTTTAATTTTTCACTTTGTTAGGGTCACATCGAAGTTGAAGCGCTACATAAAGCCTACTGGCTCTACCGTTGAGCTACTGGGAAACAACACAGCACAAGATTCGATCTTACAGAATTCAACTTTCGTTTTTAACCCATTATCAATATGCCTGAAAGTTTGCTTCATCACTACTCCACGCAAGGCTATTAAGTAAATTATTTTTTTATATCATATCTTTGAAAGTAACGAGGACAGTTAGAATTTAGAAAATTGTTTAAAGGCTTAGAATACGGCAGATGCTGCGTTTTAAAATGTTTGTTTGACATATTTATTAGAAAATCTCACTCTGCGTTTTAAAATTTAAGACGTTTTAACCAAAAACATATTGAAATTTAAGACGCAGCATCTGCCGTATTCTAAAAGTTGAATGTCCACAATCTGCAATGCTATTCCTATATATGATCGTAGTTCTTCCAAATTTTCTTTCCATAGAAACCTCTTAATCTATTATGTATACATACATACATACATACATAAAAGTGTATCACATCTGGAGCTCGTGAGCACATGCATCCTATTATATATTATTTAAAGATTAGAATCTTAGATGGGGTGGTAAGAAAACATTTTTTTATTTTTTAAATGCATAATTTAAAATGTGGACGGTCTCGTCAAGGCACTAATAATGAAAACAAGTTTAGATTTGATAAACGAAAGTTGATCGAAATTTTTTTTTACCATAAGAAAGTGCTAGAAGTAGACGATTATTTTTAGGAAGGAGAGAGATTTTAAAAACAGTGAGGTGAATTTCTGGACCATACATGGATTTGGGTTTAGAATATTAGATCGTGGAAATAGATACTCACAAGCAACATATATAGCTCCCATCATTGTTTGAACTTTGTACCACCTAGCTAGTTCCTTGAAAACTATTTAGCATCCAGATCATCATCATGAATACTTTTCCTTCCAAGAGTTCTAGCAAACGGGCTTCCAAAGGCTCTAAAGCATCGCTTCCAAAGGTCAGAATACTATTTCTTCTACGGTATTCAGTTCGTAATGATCAGGGGAGCAAATGAAACGTTTAAATGATATGACAATTTGGATTTTTTTTTTCCTTGTTTTGAATGTTTCAAAGGGTGCTGAAGGTACAGGACCATCGTTTCCCGGCTTCTCCTCCAATATGAAAAATCTCTTCCGAAGAAGGTCTGAAGGGTGAGAATATGCGCCTTCCTTCATGAATAAATGATTTAATTTATATTTATTTCTTTATTTTCTCGGTGACCTCAAGATGCAGTTCAAATAGCTAGACTCTCTCTTTGCATATAAATCTTATTTTGATATATAACTGAAAATAAAATATTAATTCTCGTCATATCATTTCATAAAAGTTTGTTCTGTCAACTTTTAGGACTAAGTGTTTTCTTTCTGGGATTGAAACCATAGGGAATGAAAATGGACTCATTTCAAATCTCATGGGGTAAATTGAAACTTAACCCGTTTTTTAGTTTCAAATTCAAAATAAAACATTGCAAAAAAGACTAAACCTCAAGATATTGGCCTGCTTTATCAAAGAACAGCACTGATTCGTACCTTAACTTTATGCTTCGTCAAAAGGATCAGTGTTTTCCAGCTTCTCCTCTAAGATAGAAAGTCCCTTACAGAAGATTTTTAGAGGGTAAGAACATGCTTTTATCTTTTTATTAGCAGTTTCTATGAGCATGCTTGTTTGCAGTAGTTTCTACACCGTTTATTAATCAGTTTTATTTTTGTATATGATCTGCACATGGAAAATGGCATGCATGAGGTCCATTATTTTCTACGTCGAAAGGTCAGCCAGCCATATGAGGGCGATGTGAAAATTTAGTATTTAAGGGGATAAAAAGAAAAAAAGGTTGATCTATTGTGATGTTACAGATTTGTGAAAATAAAAATGAATCACAAAAATTTAATATCTCCAAAATTTTCTCGCTTTTATTTTTGTTCTCCATATTCCTTCTTTCTTTCTCTCTCTCTCTCTCCTTTTTTTTTTTTTTTAATTTGGAGAGGTGCTTCACAAAGTTCACTAATTTATTAGTCCGGCCAATAAAAAGTTAAACACTCTTAATTTATGACTTTAATATGCTGACTGTTGGGCTTGGTCCAAATTTAGATATCATATGAACTTCTGAGTTTTTTCAGGTCATTACAGGCTTATATAATTGTTAATTCTAGAATCTATATGATGAGTTGAGGTGTGCAATGCAGAGAATTGTAATTAGTGATGTCTTATCATTGCCCGTTGTAGGCTTAGGACACTAACACACAATACTTAATATGGATCAGCAAATTGTCTATATTCACAAAAGAGATCTATATTATTAGAGATTAAAAAAATGATACAATACAAATACATGAAGCGAGATGATTACATTCACTCAAACTCAACTCCCTACTCTCATTGTTGCACTTACAATTGTTGCAATGACCAAGTTTTTACATGTACTTGCCACACCTTTCAATTACTAGAGTTACCAAAACATATTTTTGCTCACACCAAAAGATCACTATAACTAGATGGTTTCTCACATCACATTTGAAGAGTATTAACGCTTATCTCTAGGACACACAACATTCCCCTTGGAACATATTAACCATGCTCGGTTCGGAATGATTTTTCAAGTCTTATACCAAGGTTTACAACACCCTGCCAAATATAAATTTCTATTCCCAAATACGACAGTCATTGAGTATTTCAATATAATTATGAGTTCACCACTCTTTCAATAGTCTACTCATCCAATAGTTGCATCTGCCTTCTGTTCCACTTTAGAAACCACACTTTACTTTTCTATGAGTCTTTTACTCTTATAGTTCTAAGAGTTCAGGTAGCTCTCCATCTTTAACCATAGGGGCAGCCCATTAAAGGTTGATTCATATTTGTTATTGCACGTGTGCGGCATCGCGATGATCGTCCACCACTCTTGGAAAATGTATGGCTCTATATAGGAAAATATGGTAAGACAAAGAATTCTTGTCTTTTCTATGCAAAAAGGGAATGAGAGTCGTCACCTACTATTGTGATCACTAGGAACCCTAACTGATTTTAGAGATGGGATATAGAGACTAGTTGAATAAAGGGAAGGTATTAGCACCCTAAATACACTCTATCTAAGGTAGGTTGCATTGTTTTAATGTCTGATAAAATCTAAGGTGTTACGTTTTATAGTAGTTGGTCATGTCTGTTTAAGATTCAAGAAAAATCCTCCTCAATAAGGAGATTCTTATCTTAATGGGGTAAAACCTAACCATTCTAGCATTTGAAAAGAAAATGATATCTAGAATGCACCTTACGTGTGAGGTTGTACCCCAGATACTAAATAATAAACAAAATAATTTTCCTATTGTTTTTAAAATTTTAACTAACGTTCTCCTGACTTTAATAAACTGATTATTAAAGCCAAAATGCATGCTAAAATATATCCTTTTTTTGATGTAAGTAAAACACAATATGATTTTTTTAACTTTGAGATACTTAGTTGTATGCATAAAAAAATTTCAAAATTTTTTATATATTTTTTTAAAAGTTGACAAAAATTAGGTATTTTAATACCAGATTTTGCATTTTTACAATATAAAATACAAACCAATATTTAAACAAAATATTGTAAAACAAAATGCAGGGAAATCACAAAATGCCTCCATAACAACTCATTTTTCTATCCTTGTATGCATAGGAAATGTCTTTACTTGTTGTCTTTTTCAAGAGCATAAGAGATTTCTTATTGTACAACCTCTACACAATCTCTCCTCTTAGCTTTATCCGGGACCATTTATTTTTCTTGCACTTATTGTCTCATTATAATATCTTATTGGATCTTACATGTACTCCTACACAATCTTTGTATGTCTTTACGCAATTTCTATTCTCCATATTTCTCTTCATTCCTTGTATTCCTTGTTTATGTTTGACAACAATTCATCCTGTCATAATACCTACTCAAGTCAAAATAGATGCCAATGTTTATCCCCTTTCTTTATTTCTCTTCCATTATTAGGATGTTAATCAATTCTCATCTTGAGAAATAACATTAACCAAATTGTCACTAGCATCCCAAAAGACAATTTGTAGTCTCAGTCGTCTGTTTTTCAGCAATGAATCCCCAACAGCATATCATTTTAAAAGTGAACATACTCGTCATTTTGGACTACAAATCTAGTTTTATTCCTTAAGAAACTTTTGCACTAATTCGGATGGATTTATTGTTTTCATTATTCGCTGCCAAATGCATGATAGTTTCTTGCTGAAAAAAGAGCATTCTCAAAACTTGAGAGATACATTTTGTGGATTAAATCTCTCCCTTTACCTTAATAAAAAGTAAACATCTCACGTTTTCTCTTACTAATGGATCCCTATACTTGTTGACCTGAACTTAATAAAGAAAAATTGTATCTATAGCTGGCCTTAAACTATAGTGAAGTCTTGAATATGAACTTCTCTGTGAGAGCATATTCATGGTTAATAGTAATTGATTGTTTTGTAATTAACAGGGCATTGTTTAACATAAATAAATAAGAAAAGCTCACATGGTTCTAGCATTAGTTTAACTCTTCTCTCTTTACAATTTGTGATTAAGGATAATGTTATTCCCATTCCACAACTTGTTAATCTCACTCTATGTTCTTTTGAACCGACAAGAATAATCTTCCTCCATAACAACTGAAATAATATGGTATTATTTTACATATTATAAAACAAACACACAATTGACTTATAAAACCTCTTCCTACAACAAATATAATAATTTAAAAGTACTTGTCATCTGCGATTTTCACTGCACTATATAACTTAGAGATTTCAAATTATATCAAAATAATTTATGGGTCTCATAAAATCACATGGATTGAATTTGATCACAAGAACATCTTTTTTATTCACAATTCTTTTATATAATTTAAACATATTTTTTTATATTGAAATATATTATATTTAGTATAGTGAAGTTATATCATGAGAAATTAAACAATATAAGTTAATTATGCAATTTATTTTAGACAAGCAGAGAGTATTTACTTTAAAATAAACATAGAACCTAAGACATCAATGATCCCACACGTTTTTAAACTTTAATTTACTTTTCAATAGTTGTGTATTAAATTCAGAACTCCTTTCGTTATATGACATTAAGAAGATTTCGACACATATTAACAGCAGCAAGGCAAGTAGCGACTCTCAACAACCATCTCCAAATAATGAAAATCCAGAGACGGATACAGAACCGGCCCTCTCACAGGTGAGAATACTAATGAATGGTAATTAATCATCAGTTCGTGATGATCATGATGACAATTTGAAAATTCTATTGTTTGACATGTTTTATAGGGCGCTGATGGTAAAACCACGTTAACGTTTAAACCAAAGCATCTTAGCATCTTTTCGGAGGAAGAAAGACAAGCTTGGACTATTTCTAAAATTTCTGAAAGGTGAGGATAATATGCCTATTTTCATGTTGAAGTGTTGTGCTACAAACTTTGGTATGGTTCATCATCTGGTTCTACTGTTGTGTTACAAGTATTTTGTTAATAGAAGTAAAATTAGAAATATTAAATGAGACGGAGAAAGCTATGGATTGGAGTTTAACATACGTATACAACCCCAAGGCTAAACAAAAATACAACTAAAGTTGAAAAAGTCTATAGTTTACTCAACAAAAGTCCCATAAAATCTGAAAAGATTGGTTTAAATACCTCAAAAAACTAGGAAACAACCAATCAGGAAAAATAATATAGCTAAAATCCAAAATTAAGAAGGAAGAAGTATAAAATATGGACTGAAACTTTGAGGGCCTTTGGAGTGAGATTTGGCGACTATGAGCATCGAACGGGCTTGGAGTGTGACAGGAAGCTTAGCACAAGCTCAATTTTCTATCAGGAATTCACCTATAAAATTTGAGCTTAATTTAATAATTGGATTAAATGTTTTGAATCAAACTACCTGATTGGATAATTTCTTTGACTGTTTTCGTTTTTCGATCTAATCCATAAAATCCCGGCTAATTATTCCACATCATTAAATTAAAATCAATTTTTTTGGTGAATATTCTTGCATGTATTCATTATTATATATAAAAAAATTCAATATACAAGGTTCCCGCCATGCTTTTAGTTACACTTTCTTCCTGTTGTTTCCTTTCATTTTTGTTCGAGACCATAAAAAATGTTTTTTGATTTATTTCTTTACTTGTCATGATTGGATTTTAGAAGTGAGTATATTAAACTAGTTACCATCATGATGGAACTGTGTCACTACCTTTTGTGCATCTGCTGATTCTGAATAGTGGTGCTGTAGTTTTTGTAGAGACTATTTTGTTTATGTCAATATGATTCTATTAATTTGCTCTTTGCAAGCTCTAGGGATGTTACTGCAGACATGCTAGAGGTGTGTTGGCTTGATGTAACTGGTTCAATGACTGCTACCAAAGGGAAGGCGTATGAAATTAGCTTCATATTATCCATGAATGAAAAGAATTCCTTTGGCTGGGAAGATCCTGTTTATGTGATGGCAAGGATAGGAGAGGAGGGAGAGTATTCGCGCGTACAAATAGATCTATCAAAGTTAGGCCATGAAAAGGAGGAATTTCCGGCTGAGAAGTGTCGGGTTGAGTTTAGAAGTGATGAAAACACTGAAAATAATAAGAAAAAACTCTATTTTGGCTTGTATGAAGTGTGGACTAACAACTGGAAGGGTGGTCTACGGATCCACGAGGCCATAGTTCGGGAATTAACAGCTGAGGATTCTGCTTCCACATCTAATACCCTTTCGAACGACTCCAATGTACAAGAAGTAGCAGCTGACAAGTCTACTTCAGCATCTGAAAACCCTCCGGACATGTCCATAATGAAGCAAGTACGAGCTCCTCCCGTCGAGGTCGTAGCTCAGAAAATAACAGTTCACGATTCGGCCTCTACATCTACTAATCATGTTAATGATTTTGCTACCCCGTCTCGTGTCGACAATCTGGAAGATGAGTTCTTTGACTCGAAGGACACTCTAGAAGATAAGTGATAAACAGAATCACTACATCTACTATATGGCTAGTTATGAAAAACTGATTTAGAGCTTTGTAACTTGAGAACACATGTGAAGCCAACAAAGGCTGTTTTGAGGGTCAAAATCCATTTCCAGTGCCTACTTCCAGAAATTTTCAGTGATTTGATCAGCAGAGCAAGCAATACAATGTTAAGACCCCAGTTATTTAGCTATGGATTGAATAAGAACTATAGACTTAAAGACTCTTTCTCCAGAGCTTTTCTGTTTGCCCGATGACTTGCTGCGTTTACTGCTAAAGAGCTGGTTATATTGCTTGACAAATTAAAAAGTACAAAATGGCTTGATATATTGTAATTTCAGTAACTCTTGCATGCATGTGCATGCTTTCATTTTTTAAGTTTTCAAAGCTTCGGGTAGATAACTAGAATGCACAAATCACACTTCCTTTCCTAATGGTACGTCTCATTTTGGGTTTGTCTCTGGATCTTCTAAATTGGACGCTGCAAAATTTGATGCGAAATCTACGTATGCACATCAGAAGAATAATAATAAAAATTATATTAAAAGATATCAGATAAAATATTAAAGTTTCAATAAAATTCAAGTAAATGGAAAGAGTTTTTAAAAAAGAATCTTAAAAAATAAATATGGAGATGAAGCAATAAAAACAGTTTATTAAAAAAAAAACCATATTCACGAAACTAAACAGCAATACTAATTTCACAAAAGTAGCTTTTCCCTCAATAGGTTGTAATTTAGTTTGTCTATGTCTTGGCTGAACCTTCATGTTTTTTGAATGTCTACATTGCTATTAAACAGTAGAAGTTTATCAATTTGTCCCAATTTATTGGAGATGAATTGAAAAATGTTTATTTTTTTATAAGCACTTTGGTTAATAAGGAAATTAGAGAGAAGAATAAGCAAGGAATATTATATATTTGATTTTTTTTGTAAATTTTGGAATTCTAATTAAAAATTCAATGCTTGAGTGATAATCAAAATAGATTCTAAGAACTTTATTTGCTATGACTCATATTCATGATTTTCTTATCACCTTTGTATTTTTATTAGAAATTTTCCAATATTTCCTTTAAGGTGTTTTCAAAAATGATGATCTTAAATGTGATTTCTTTAGGATCTTGATAAATAATAGTCTTGTCTTTTTTGTTTTTCTTTCTATTGCATTTGAGGATTTGTTTCTATGTCTCTTATAGAGAATCTTTTATGTTTTTTTTTTTTTTGGAATCTAGCTCATCATAACATATCCCATAATTTATATATACTTTTGTGAGCTAAGAAATGTCTTTAATTTGATATATTAATTATCATAATTGTTTTTGGTTAGTTTTAGGATAAGTGTTTGTATATTTTTATAGTCATTTTATTTTTTAAATAACTATATTATCTTTTAGGAGTTGAATTTAATAGAACAAACGGTGAATGAATCCAAAATGATGAAAATAATAGAAGAAAAGTCTGACTTAATTGAAAATGAGTCAAAAGTAAGCCTAACGGTAAAAAAAACTGATTCTGAATATTGGTTAATTTACTGGGGTTGACTTGGAATATTCCAGGAATATTATTCATTAGGCGGGTTAATGGATAAACTCAGCGTAGATAATGGCTTCGAAACTTGGCTTAAGTGGCAGGACTCTGTCTATATATAAATTAATTCAAAATATAATAATAATGATTTTTATCAACATCACCTCAACTAAAAAGGACCTTCTCTCGTTTTTCTTTCTAAATGAGTCCCCGTATGAGTAACCAGCAGAAGGGAAAAAAACGCATCTCTGACATAAATAATAAGCTAAACTCAAAGGCATGGGAGGAACAGTAGGCAAGCATATGACTTTGTTTCTAAGATGGAAAACGAACGTCCCAAGCAGAAGCAGAAAACAGTTTTTGAAAAGAAAAGAAGACCGACCAAACAGCTTTACATATGTTAAAGAAAAAGAAAGTCAAGACTCATACCTGCGGTCCTGCATGTTTGAATACAGAAAATGAGATTCAACTGGTGGACAAGCTTCTGCCTTTTTAATTACCTCTGATAACCAAAGAAAGCCTTCCTCTCTTTTGCCGTTGGTAGCTTTTCAAAAACCTTTTAGAGTCCTTGTAAACCCCGGTTCGACAAGGTAGGGCAGACTCAAGGTAATCTCCTCCCGTTCTCCTACCCTCAGCCTCCTCCTGGTTCTTCAGTTTTTTCTCTTCTTTTTTCTCTCTCCCTTTTAAACTTGTTCTCTCTCTCTTTTTAAACTCTTTC